CTAGGTCTTCAGCGAAATGGTGCCTGTGATATGCGCATGCGCCAATTTCGCTATAAATTGACACAATTGGCGTCCGGCGGTACAAGCACACCCCTTATGACTAAGTGCATTGGCACGATACGCGTCAAGGAGGAGCTTACTCCATGACCTCACACCGCTGGAGCAGGTCCGGCGGCCATCTTTGATTTCTAATGGTCAGTGCATTTGTTTGTGCTTAAACCTTGTTTTACCCTACGGCTGGAATAAATAAATTTATAAGAATTATTACACTACGGGCATCCTTTTCTTTGGTTCTATATGAGCTAACAAACCCACAAAGCCCATCATGGAGGACGGCTGCGGTACTGCAGATAACCCAGAGGAAGGTGATTCCAGACCAGGCTGTGTGCATCCTTAAAGGGACCTCCGGCTGACTATATTTGTGTATCTATACATACGTATTTAATTACGCATCTGGTGAGTGCGTAATCTTACCACATTCCTGCTACATCACCGAATTATTGATTTTAGCACGTGGAACACCAATTTGAGATCATACTTACCTGGATCTCCACTTATTTGTCACCTTTATGGTCATTGATTTGTCACTTTTGTGTTATTAGTTTTGATAGTCTTTCACTATCAGCACTTTACCATAATAGCACTTTATTGTCACTCAATTTGGACATTGATTTACTACTCATATATTTTATAATTGTTTTATTATCAGCACTTTCCCATATTACCACTTTATTTGCACTTTTTCAATTGCACATTTTTTCTTGAATGATACCAGTATTTTATAAGTGTTTTAAGTTCATTTAGCGCTGCACCTATTTATTACATGGTTTTTGGAGGTTTTTGGTTGCCTTTTTGGTGCTATAGCAGTTTGTGTTTTAGCGCTCGCTTGTTTGTTTGTGTTTTATCTATAGTATACACATACTTACACTGGCCCAAGCTGTACCAATGTTACTATGTATAAATTATCCATACCGAAAATTCCTCTTTAAGTAGTACATGTACAGTATATGTACGTGATTTCATGGAGCCCTGCCACCCAGTAGCAGTACTTCTACTATAGGGTGGCGGGAAATCAGATAATTATTACCTGGTGCTGAGGAAAGCTTTAAGCAATAGCTTGCTCCCCATGTGGACTAATGCTTGATAGGGTTGAGCTGAGGCTTGCAATGACAGTGGAACATGTACACCATCTAAATGTTGTGATATGATTGCTCAGCTACTCATGATATGCTCTAGTGCTTGTACTCCCCAAAGCACTTTTCATTTGCGCATCATCTTGCTTGCAATTACTTGAACTGTTGCTGACATTCTGTGCTAATATGGCCATTCATTGGAGGGACAGCCAGAATTTATTGTACATATAAACTGCCTTGAACATATTGTTGTCTGTGGACAAAAAACATTATGTGACATGATGATATGTTGCCCAAGAGTAGTAAAACAATGTATTGGCCACTAATAAATGACCAATTTTACACCTTGCTGCTGTGCTATTCTTATCCCTAGTAGAATAAGCGTCTCATTAACCAAGGAAGGCTTGTGGTAGACTGCACACCACTTGATACCATTCTGGATGGGATACTGACTCTTCTATACTCTACTTTAGGATCCTAGTTCATATGTGGTTAAATAGAAAGAATTTTGATCAGGGAGTAGTAAGGATCAGATTACCATCACGGTTCCCCGGGGCATACATGCCTTGCAATGCCAGCCTAATTATAGTTGGTTAATTTAATTACGCGGTGATTTGCCTGGGCTGAATTGTCTGCAACACACATATATATGTTTAATTGACATCCGGACATCTAAATAGGTGATGTTGTTTTTAATACGCTGGCATTATGTGTTGCATTGTGGTGAACCAAGTGCTGTGTTTTATATTATAGAAGTCATTTTTTTAAAATATTTTTTTGTACTTTTTGATACTAAATTTGGCAACTTAAAAAATGACATTAGGCCTCATTTTCTGTTATTGTAACCATTGTTTATCCATCCCCAGGGGCAGACTGACCATTTGGAAACTCGGGCACTGCCCGAGGGCCCGGGGTCAGTAGGGGGCCCCATGATATGCCCCTGGTACCTTTTTCATAGGCTTTTTTGAGTTTGGGCAAGGACACATGATCCCCTATTTCTGGGGGGCCCCATGAGTTGTCAGTCCGCCCCTGTCCATCCCTTAAGCTTTACCTTGTGTGCTGAGTGTAATACTTTTTTCTTTCCACATCAGAGTCTCACCAATCCAAATTTGTGTCAAAGTTGTATCAAAGTTGTATCAAAGTTGTATCAAAGTTGCACCAAATTTGAACTCCAAAGTCGGCCCAACCCTGGAGTTGTACAAGTGTGAATGGTTGCATCTCTCTGTACATTGCGTCAAAGTTCCATCAAAGTAGTATCAAAGTTGCACCAAATTTGCACTCCAAAGTTGGCGCAACCTTGGAGTTGTACAAGTGTGAACATTTTCTTTTATAAAATCAATAAATCTGCTTACCAAATCACTTTACTTCTGTTATTTTATAAGCAGTTTTCAAAAAAACTAAAGAAAAATTGGAAATAATTGTATTAAACAACACTTCCAATTATCAGTCATAATTAATTATGAACAATACAGTAACCAATGAGAATTCATCTTCCACTTATGAGACTTCTGCCCAATGAAATCTGGTTGCCATGGGTAACTAATGTGTAAACATTGTCATTCCTCTTTGTACTTCCTTATTAAATTAGCCTTATCTGTACATGAAAAAGGCTGAGTTTTCCTTTTTATTTATATTGAATTTCCCGAGCAGTGAGATCTCACTTGAAGATATCACTTAGACACGCTGCAGTTATGCGTGTGCTTCCAGATGGTATTGATCTAATTTAGCAATCTGGATGATAGAGGACTATACATCAAAGTCACTGTAGAGGTATGCTCAAATTCTGCATGCAAATTGTTCTGGTTTGGCTTCTCAAGCCCATATGCACACATAAGAAAAAATCACAACACAACTGACATTTCCATTGCAGATGTACTTCCATTTGACATGTAACAATCATCTGATGACATCTAGACCAACGGCTGATTCATCAAAGTCACATTTAGGAAAGGAAATGCTCACAATTATGTGGATTACCATGCAAATTTTTTCACCTGCTTCTGTTAGGATCAATGACATGGAAAGCGTAAGACAGTTATAAATTATTATTATTTATTTCAGGCTCTTATATAGCTCCAGCAATTTACACAGCGCTTTACATATATATTGTACATTCACATCAGTCCCTAACCCTCAAGGGGCGTACAATATAACTCACATTCATACATACACATACTAGGGCCAATTTAGACAGGATCCAATTCACCGACCAGCATGTCTTTAGAGTGTGGGAGGAAACCAGAGTACCTGCAAGAAACCCATGCAGGTACAGGGAGAACATGCAAACTCTAGGTAGGTGGTGCCGTGATTGGGATTAAAACCAAAAACGCTAGTACTGCCAGGCAGACCATTTAACCACTGTGCTGCCATGAGTGAACATACAAATATGAGCAATACCAAGCTACTCCAGACTACTTTATGGTAGAGTAGCCTGTAGTCAGTACTATTTTGCTCCCACACATCTGTAATTTTAAGGGTTTTTTTCCTTTATATTTTATAAACTCATTATTTAGGAAAAGCAGCAGTGCATAAATAAAAAATACAGGTATTCAAGAAGAACCATTTGTAACGGGCAATACTGTAGTACAATCATATTAGAACCACTGAGGTTAGAGGGGCTGTCAGTTTCAGAGATCAGCATTGCAATAACATGAATCACATGGTCTGTGCGACTTCATTTAACAGCTGCCAATGCAAGTTGCAATGAAGACGCACATAAATAGTGCGGGAACCTTTATCAAAGTCACTGCGACTTGAGTTGCAATGATTCCAATGGTTTCATTGCTGCTAATTAGGTGTGGCAGATTGAACTGGTGTGAACCAGGGCTTAAGGTTGATTTTTTTTTTTTTCAAATAACAAACATACCTGATTTGTGTAATGGTTTTGCACAGAGCACCCACAATCCTGTTCTTTTTGGGTCTCCGGCTGCTTGTCCTGGCTCCTACCCCCTGCTGAAAGCCCCCAAAAGCAAGCATCTTGATATGGGGGCACTTGAGCTGGCTCACACCTGAGCTGTGCTCTCTCCTCATTGGATCATTGGCACATTGTCCATTCACAAACAGAGCGTGGCTCGGCCCCACTCCCCTGCTCTCTTCTCATTGGCTCACTGGATGTGATTGAAAGCAGCAGGAGCCATTCTGTGTGAGCCAATGAGGAGAGATCTACCAGAAGAGCGTAAAGGTAAGCTCCCAACTGGGCACAGGATAGGAAATCTAAAGTAGTCGAAAATGTGTCCTTTAGTTCCAGATTGATTGTTGGACGGTTACTGGAGGAGAAGTGCAACATGCGGAAGGTCTCCTGTTGGATAAGGACATCAAATTGAGGGTCATCCCTGCTATGTGGAAAGTCTGGTGTTCGCAGAACAGGAAGCATAGAAAGGGGAGAAGGTGAGAGAGATGTGGTTCGATAAATTGTCCTGGTTGTTTGTAGAGTACCCCCTATGAGTGGGTGCAGTTTGATAGATGCTGGAATTGACTTGTCTGTTAACCAGGGGGTCCTGTCAGTGTCAGAGTCACCTACTGTTGGTTCCAATTGAATCCAGGGATTTGTGTTGTATAGAATACACCAGTTGACCAGCCTGTTAAGTGGCTCGCCTGTAGGTACTTCACTGGGTTGGGGAACCCAATTCTCCCTTTCATCTTGGGAAGTTTTAGTATCAATCTCTAAAGTCTTTGTGGGTTTTCCAGGCTATAAAAATCTGAAGAAGTTGGTTAGTAGATCCCTCAGGAACCCTGCATGGTGTTTCACCGATAGTGCCTGTAGTAAGTAAAGAAGGCACGGTATCATGTTCATGTGCAGCCCTGGACAGTAATTACTCGCCGGCGCCCGGTAATTTCCGACAATCACCGACGGGAAGGAGGACTGTTTTGTTTACTAACAGTCTTCCTCCCTGTCAGCTCGGGCACACTGCTCTGGATGGCTTTGCACAGCACAGCCATTCAGAGCAGAGTGCTTACAGCGAAACACATACACACACACCCCCCTAGTAAAACACTCCCTGCACAGTTAACCTTTTGATCGCCCCTAATGTTAACCCTTTCCTACCCTGTGCCATTAGTACAGTGTCAGTGCTTTTTTTTTTAGCACAGATCACTATATTGGTGTCACTGGGGATGTCAGTGATACCAAGTCAGTTCTCCCCCAGTGTCAGAATCTCCCGCAGTCCTGCTATAAGTCGCTGATCGCGCCATTACTAGTAAAAATGAAAAAAAATAAATCCCAGTATATATACCACCATTTGTAAATGCTATAACTTTCACATTAACTAATTCATTTACATGTATTGGGATTTTTTTTTAGAAAAGACATGTCGCAGAATACATTTTGGTGTAAATTTATGACAAATTTTAACATTTTTTTTACTGGATATGTTTAACAGCACAAAGTAAAAAATATTGTTTTTGTTCAAAATTGTCTGACTTTTTTTTTTAGCGCAAAAAAAAAACACACAAATGATCAAATGCCACCGAAAGAAAGCTCAATTCATGGGGAAAAAAAGAATGTAAATTTCATTTGGATGCAGCGTTACACAACCGTGCAATTGTCAGTCACCGTAATGCAAAAAATGGCCTGGTCAGGAAGGGCGGTAAATCCTCAGGAGGGCAAGTGGTTAATAATACTATTATGACCAAACCATGTAAAGATTTTCCTATCGCAGCACTGGAAATCTGTTTTGAACGTTCTGACTAATAGGCTAAAATTAAGTTCAAAGACCTGGAGCAGGTTACTGGGGATATTCGTTTCAACATATTGAATGTAGGAATTAGTCCACTTAAAGTGAAAATGTGAACATATTTGGTTCTTGAGTTTGGGGATGATCTCAATACCCATGGCCTTTGATTTAGAATGGTTGATTTTAAAATTCCATAACTCTCAGTATCTATTAAATTTTACCAAAACATTGGGTAAAGAGATTGGGGGAACATTACAAAGAAAATCAAATCATCAGCATAGGTAGCTAGCTTATGTTCACCCCATTTTTTAAGGTCTCGAATGTCATGTTTAGCTCTAATTGCTCTCAGAAAGGTTTCTAGAGTGAGCATAAATACTGTATGAGTCATGACAAGGGGTACCCTTGACATTTCCCATTCCATATGGGGAAGACATCGGAGATTGCATCATTAAGTGCATAAGACCATTTTTTCATCCTTTCCCTGAGAACCACAGTAAATGGTCTAGTATAGCATGAAGGTAAACTCAGACAACTCTATCAAATGTTTTTTCTGCACCTGTGGATAACAGCACTAGCAGAACATGTTTCAGAAAGGTATATGACATTAAGGACCTGTTGCGTTTTATCCCTGCCTTCTCTGCGTGGAGTAAATCCTGACAGATCTGGGTAGATCAAGTCAGAAATATGTGGAAGCAGTCTAGAGAAAAGGATCTACATAAATATATAAATATTTTCAAGAAACAGTGAAGTGGCAAGCGAGTGACCAGATATGATTATTGCACCACATCCCTTAAAATTGCAAATATTCAATAGAGAAGATGGGACTTTCAGGGTGCATAGACATGAATACCACACATTAAAAGTTATATAATTTTTATTTCGTATTTTGGCAAAAAACACAAGAAAGGAAAAAATACAGAAATATAAAAACAATTTCAATTCTAAGAATACCAACTGAGATTCAAACTTGGTTATGTAAATATAGTTACTCCCTACATGTTTCGCCCTCATTGGCTTCTTCAGGGGGGATTTTTTGAGGAAATTTCTACCGCCAAGGCAGTCTAAAGGTATATCAAAGGAAAATTCTTCAATTACCAAACAACTTTAATATATCCAATACAAGGTATTTAATCAAATATATATACATATATATGGGACTCAATGGCTCACCCTGGATGTGAAAGCTCACGGAGCTAGGAGAAAAGTATTTTCAAGTTCACATTGAGCAGGGAGACAGGATGGTAATTTGGACACCTTTGGAGTTCCTTTGGAATAACCGTTATATGTGCCTGCAAGGTGACATCTGGAAAGGCAAGACCCTCTCTGATTTGACATTTTTACTTTGTTTTATCAACTTCTAATTAGTAAGCCCCTTAAGGTAGTTGTAAGCATACAATGCTGTACACATTTTCTAGTAGGAACCATATCTGCTTTTGCTTAGTTTCAGTATTAATATTTTTTTACTTTTTTTACAAGGTTAACCACTTGCCCTCCAGAGAATCTACCCTCCTTCCTGACCAGGTCATTTTTTTCGTTAAGGAACTGCGTTACTTTAACTGACAATTACACGGTCATCCAATGCTGCACCCAAATTAAATTTACGGCCTTTTTTCCATGAATAGAGCGATCTTTTGGTGGTATTTGATCACCTGTGCGTTTTTTATTTTTTGCTATATAAAAAAAAGACCTACAATTTTGAGGAAAAAAAAACAATATTTTTGAATTTTTGCTTTAAACATGTCCAGTAAAAATAATTTTAAAAATCTACTTTCATCATAAATTTAGGCCAAAATTTATTCTGCTACATGTCTTTTCTAAAAAAAAAATCCCAAAACGTGTACATTAACTGGTTTACGTGAAAGTTATAGTATTTTTTTAATTTTTACTAGTAATGGCGGCAATCAGCGACTTATAATGGGACTGCGGCAGGCATTCTGACACTGGGGGGAACTGACTTGGTGTCACTGACATTCCCAGTGACACCAATACAGTGATCAGTGCTAATTAAAAGCCCTGACACTGTACTAATGGCACTGGGCAGGAAGGGGTTGGGTATAAGACACTGTGCAAACATATAGTGTGCCTGTATTCCATAGTCTGTTCAGCCTGAAGCAAGATGCAGGCTATGCTTGAGCAGGGAGCATGTTTAAGAGGCAGGCTGTGATTGGGAGGGAGTGTGTGCCAGAAGAAGGCTGTGATTGGTCAAGGAGCATGGTAGCTGAATAAAAAATACCTAATACAGTCATGTCCTGTACTACTAAATGACCAATCGAAGGACGAAAATTGACCATGCAAACACAAATCATCTTCTGTGCTTTGTGCGGTCAGTTTAGAACAAGGAAGAAAAGTGACTAGCAAGATCAACCAGGTACTTTAGATGGAATAAGTACATAAAAATTATAGAGACTGTGATTTTTAAAATACTCCTATGAAGGGGCGGACTGACAACTCATGGGGCCCCCGGGCAATAAGGGATTATGGGGCCCCTTGTGTCCTTGCCCAAACTCAAAAAAGCTTATGAAAAAGGTACCAGGGGCATCTCATGGGGTCCCCTACTGACCCCGGACCCTCGGGCAGTTCCCGAGTTTCCAAATGGTCAGTCCGCCCCTGCTCCTATGTGAACACACACATAGAAAAAAATAAATATTTAGGGAAACATACACTTCAAGGATAAGTTTGCAATGGCTCATTTTCTGAAATGCAGTCCCTGGTGGATTGTTTTTTTTCCAAATGACAATTTAAAATGAGACTAATTTTTCTTTTTTTTAAGTCCGCGGAGGTGCAAAAAAATGAAAACCCATATGTGGACAAAAAACGAGCAAGAGCAAAACACAAACACAAAAAAGCGCACTTAGGGATGTGCTTTAGTCCACCCCCTGAAGGGGTAGGACCTCTACCCTGATCCCCCGGGATGCAAGGCTCCTGACAGGGACAAAGGTTTCCACATGGTCCACCAAGCCAAAAGGCCTGGCGGACCCCTTTCCTTGTGGCTAGCTGAAGCAGACCACCAAGTACTAGGTCAGGGGGCTCTCCCAAAGAGAGACCCCCCCAGGGACAGGGGAGGAAGGAACTTAATGGCCACACATCCTCCCCCTAGACTTTAGGGCCAGCCCGAGGACCCACACCCTCCATCCTAGTGAGTAATAAAACACACACAAAAGTGAAAGGTGACAAAAGGTAGGAGAAAAATAAATAAATGGCCGTGCAATTGTGCACTGGCTAGACCCTGAGGCCTGTAGCAAAAATTGCCCTGGACTTAGCCAAAAGGCCTAACCCAAAAAGGCGCAGTGCAGAAAAAGTGTTTGGAACCGTGACCATGTGCACTTTTCACACTTGGGATCCCATCCCCATGTGCTACTAAGAGCACCCCTAAGGTGACCACTCAGGGGGCACTGCTCCGCAGACTCTCTGCCTCCCCGGCCCCTGGCTAGACAAGGTAGATCCGTTCAAATCAGGAGGAACTGGGCCCCTCCAGTTTTCCCGGGGGACTAATGCACCACAACAAAGATCCAAGCATTTGGCTTACAGTTGCATTGTAGCCCCACTGAAAGGCCAAATTTGACGGGTGGTGCCACCTGTCAACTTGGTATGTTGCATATAATTTGCCATAGCATGTGAACAGCCCCCTCCAGTTGTATTGTAGGCTTTAGGTGCTCAGCCAGCTTTTTTCACCGCCCACCGGGATGCCCTAAGAGGTCATAGGGTATCACCAAAACTTTAAACCTCCTGAAATGATTATTAATGAATGATGTGGCTCTATCATATAACATGGGTATTTACGATGTGAGTGTAACAAAGTAGGTGAAGGATATAGAGTAATACAATAGCAAGGCTCAATAGGGAAGCGAGAGATCTGCCGGTTCAATATTACAGTCTAGACAGATGGGTTTTAGACAGTAGTAGGAGTAATCTGAAGATGACAGCACATGCCTTGTCAGTGTAGGGGAAAGCAGAAGAGGATGTTTATTTGAAGTGGTTCGTTTTAAAGTGGAACTCCATGGAGTTTTCTTTCTAGTTTTGGATAGAACAGGAAACCCCAAACACATACTGTCCTAATGACACAACAGGCTGTGAGGGAAAATTTTCACAACCAGGGATGAGCTGGATTTGGTTCCAACTCAGTCCAAACCCAGTTCTGTAGAACCAATGAAAGCTGTCATGTGATCACATCCTACCGGCCCAGTCAGCTAGTCCCAGGACATACACTGTCCCGCAGCCACACATACACAAAGGGGTGGGTATGCTTGTGACATCATTGATCTAATATGGTCGCATGGCCATATTAGTTGTCAGTGGAACAGGTACTTTTTTTGAGAAACTTAAGCTGGCCACACACCGATTTAAATATGCAGCTGATTTTGATCAGTGTGCAGGCTTATATTGAAAACTTTTCCATTGATCAGCAACTGCAGCCAATCAGCTGTGGCAGCTGATTAGTGTATTCTGACAGTGGTGGTCAGAATACAATGTCCTGAAGGGGTGGGGGGGTTCCTCTATCTTTTTTGTTTGTGTGGATGGAGGAATCTGTTAGCTTTCAGAACAAAACAAAACAAATTGTGTATGAACAGCTTTAACCACTTACGCGCCGCCGTATAGCAGATATACTGCTACACTACAGCACGGGTGCGCAAAATCACACATATGTACATGATTTTCCATGTCCGGGTAGGCTGCGTGCACTAGGTGCTGGACGGCTGAGCAGAGCCATCCAGAGCAGTGTGCTTTACAGTGAAGCACACCCCCACCTCCCACCCCCTAGTAAAACACTCCCAGCTCACAGTTAACTCTTTGATTGCCCCAAATGTTAACCCCTTCCTGCCCAGTGCCATTAGTACAGTGTCAGTGCTTTTTTTTTTAGCACTGATCACTGTATTGGTGTTACTGGGGATGTCAGTGACACCAAGTCAGTTCCCCCAAGTGTCAGAATGTCTGCCGCAGTCTCACTATAAGTTGCTGATTGGCGCCATTATTAGTAGAAAAAAAAAAAAAAAAAAAAAAAAAATCCAGTATATACACCGCCATTTGTAAATGCTATAACTTTCACATAAACCAATTCATTTACACGTATTGGGATTATTTTGTAGCAAAGATATGTAGCAGAATACATTCTGACCTAAATTTATGACAAAATTAGATTTTTTTTTTATTTTTTGTACTGGACATGTTGAAACTAGCCATACATGCTGAAAATTCAATCACTTTCCAGTGTACCAGATAGGTACAATGGGTGGCCCTGTCAGCAACCCCAACCCCCCCCCCCCCCCCCCCCCCCCCCCCCCCACCTGACACCCTTCGATTTTTCAGGTGAAATTTCAGGGGGACATTTTTGAGAGGAAAATTGTCAGTTGGTACTGGCAGAGCAGATTCCATGCTGTTTTGCATGTAGAGGAGAATCAATAGATTAATCCCATCTCAGTAAAAGCTCTCAGCAAGAGAGAATATGAGACTGAAACTCCGAAGCACACCAAATGCCAAAACTTTATATAGGTTCTAACTGCTCAATACTCTACCCAAACCTAGAAAGAAGGGTTTGGCTGCAGTTTCAGTTTAAGCCCTCATACACACTGGGTGTTTTGATAACACTGGTAATGTTAGCTGTGTAAAGTCACGTTAAAAATGTGTTTTTCAGCTTTTTTTTTGGCGTTTTTGCATTAGAGTTTAGTGGCTTTTTCCCGCATTTAGCTGCGTTTTCCTGCATTTGCGGTTTTTAGCATTTTTTTAAATATATAGAAATCCCCCTGCGCTCCACAGAACCTAGTGAGTAAGCTGCTATCACCTATTCTCTATACCGCAAGATATGTGAAACAAAATAATATAATAGTGGTGAAGCGCTCAACTAAAATAATCAAAAAACTAGTGCAATACCTCCTTTGTGAATAAACCCTGGTGATATAGTGATAAATGATACCTCTTAAAAACTAAAAATTATACAATGGTAACTGGTGCAATATCCTCATCAGTGTATATTAAATCCCTAGTGATGTAGTGATAAACGATTATTATTAACCTATGCAAAAAGAGATACTCAAATACAATTAATCAGACCAATTTAAATAAAAATCAAATAAGATAGTGATGCCACACTGTGCAAAAAAAGTGTTCAAATAATATCACTCCATGCTGCAATAGTGCTCTTCGTGAAATCTTGACGTGACTCCCCTCAATGATAGCCAAAATGCCCCCTCACCTTCCACATTCGACCCTTGCGGGTCACAGAGCTTTTTATATATAAATAAATCTCTGCCAGATTTATTCTCCTCCACTGCCTCCACCGACCATGATCCTCCTCCAGGCAGTAAGTAATACTCCAATAGCTCCCCTCAACAAACGGACTCTGCCAGATATAATTCTCCTCCACTGCCTTCACCGCTCAAGATCCTCCTCCAGGCAGTCAGTTACACTTCAATACCCCTCACAGAATGGACACAGACACAGGGCGCATATGGAAAACAAAATCACATCTCCATAGTGCAACACCGTTTAATGCACTTAATCGGTAAAGTAGAACATTACACTCACATGTCCTTTCAGCAAAGTAAAGCAGTTCCCATGTAATATGGGTGTATACAGGTGTCCAAAGATGGCGTCCGAACCCGGAACCGGAAGTACGTCACCCCTATACGTCGACGCGTTGCGCCACGATCACGTGGCTTCTTCAGGATACCCAGGGTATCCTGAAGAAGCCACGTGATCGTGGCGCAACGCGTCGACGTATAGGGGTGACGTACTTCCGGTTCCGGGTTCGGACACCATCTTTGGACACCTGTATACACCCATATTACATGGGAACTTGCTTTACTTTGCTGAAAGGACATGTGAGTGTAATGTTCTACTTTACCGATTAAGTGCATTAAACGGTGTTGCACTATGGAGATGTGATTTTGTTTTCCATATGCGCCCTGTGTCTGTGTCCATTCTGTGAGGGGTATTGAAGTGTAACTGACTGCCTGGAGGAGGATCTTGAGCGGTGAAGGCAGTGGAGGAGAATTATATCTGGCAGAGTCCGTTTGTTGAGGGGAGCTATTGGAGTATTACTTACTGCCTGGAGGAGGATCATGGTCGGTGGAGGCAGTGGAGGAGAATAAATCTGGCAGAGATTTATTTATATATAAAAAGCTCTGTGACCCGCAAGGGTCGAATGTGGAAGGTGAGGGGGCATTTTGGCTATCATTGAGGGGAGTCACGTCAAGATTTCACGAAGAGCACTATTGCAGCATGGAGTGATATTATTTGAACACTTTTTTTGCACAGTGTGGCATCACTATCTTATTTGATTTTTATTTAAATTGGTCTGATTAATTGTATTTGAGTATCTCTTTTTGCATAGGTTAATAATAATCGTTTATCACTACATCACTAGGGATTTAATATACACTGATGAGGATATTGCACCAGTTACCATTGTATAATTTTTAGTTTAAGAGGTATCATTTATCACTATATCACCAGGGTTTATTCACAAAGGAGGTATTGCACTAGTTTTTTGATTATTTAGCGCTTCACCACTATTATATTATTTTGTTTAGCATTTTTTTGCCCCCCCCAAAATAATTGTTTTAGTAAAAAAACCCAAAAAACGCCAGTTTGCAGCGTTTTACCGCGTTTTGCAGTGTTATAAAGTTTTTACAGCTAAAAACTCCTCTAGATACCCACTAGTCCTGGGTTTTTTTCCAGCCAAAAAACTTTGATTACAGTCTGTGTGCATGGACACATAGGATAACATGCTGGGGGGTTTACTAGCTGTAGAAAAAAACGTCAAAAGCCAAAAACAACAGCTGTAAAAATGTCAACTGTGCATGAGGAATAAGTTAATTTGATGGCATGATGAACTGCAGTGTGTCAGACGTCATGTGGAAGTGAACTGCAGAAAGGGAGAGAAAAATGCGGTAGCTCCAGAAGGTGGAATGTGATGAGGCATCTGGAGGGCGGGAGGCAAGAATGGTTTAGAGAGGAGTGTTTTGCTTGGAATGATATCAGGAAATTAAAGCCCAAATGAACTATTGCAGTTTATTACTGTAATGCAGCCAGGCTGCCTAAACAGTTATAAATCTGATGTTCTTTACATTTCATTATTTAATTTAACTGGTAAGCAGAATTGCTGCATTACAATAATATATTGTTAGGGATTAATTGAGCAATAAAAAAGAAAATGTATAGAGGAGCCAGGTTGGAGAGAACTTGGTGAGATACCGATAGAATGTCAAACTGTACTCGCTCAATATATACACCAGATACTGGAGCAGATTTAATATACCTGAAACAGAGTAGTTGCCTAAAGTGGTAATAAAAGTCTTTTTTTATGTTTTACCTACAGGTTATCCTTTAATAAAGCTTAACTGTAGGTGCTGTAAATATCTCCTAAACATGCACCATCACCGCCGCATACGCACTGTGCGCTCACTGGATGGCGTGCCGCCCACTGAGAGAGCCATGCCACGGCCGAGACATCGCTGTGGTTTCGGCCAATCAATGGACGCAGCCTGGGAGCCTGCAAACGAAGACCGGGTGGAGATAGAAGCCCTCTGGAGTCATGACAGCACTCCACTGGAGGGTTTCATTTTCAGGTAAGTCTTTGTGATGCATACTAGCACATTATGCTGTTAACTTGCAGGGAAGAGCTTTTTTTAGATTTATTTTTGCAGTTTACTACCACTTTAAAGCATAACTAAGCCTAAAAACAAAAAAAAAAATAATGTATTGCAGCTTACCAGTCATTGGGTGTGGTGGCTGCATTCGTTTTAATTTTTTAGGGCTTTTATTCCTTTATTTTCTTCCTGCTGATCGACCATTAAGGTTAGGTTCACATATGTGCGAGTGGTGCTGCTGCAGATCCGCACAAAAATCCATGCAGCAGCCACACTACCCACACTGAAGAATGCGGACCCGCGGGCGGGTGCCATTAATTCTAATGGAACACTGCCCGCATTGGAAATCGCAACCGTACTGGGAACCGAGGTTCCCTTCAGGCTGCGTTTTCATAAGAAGTGCAGGGACTTCTTCCCTGGCAGTCCCGGGACACGGAAGTTATTTTAAATGAATGGGCTCTTGTGTCCATGCAAAACACGGATATGTGAACCAGGGGTTACACACTTTCCATCTTAGGTTGACTACATTCATTCCTCAGTGGAGAGTGTGGTGTTGGATAGACTAGTATATTTAGATGGACTTTACATTAGTGACTAACAATATAAAGCCCAACTCCAGGTATTACTTTTTAAGGTGGTAGTAAACTCGTTTTTTAAAATTTTACATACAGGTAAGCTTATAAAAAAAGTTTACCTGTAGGTAAAATGAATATCTCCTAAACATGCACCATTTAGGAGACATTCTCTCCTTTTTAACCACTTGCCTACTGGGCACTTTTACCCCCTTCGTGCCCAGACCAATTTTCAGTTTTCAGGGCTCTCATACTTTCAATGACAATTGCGCAGTCATACAACACTGTACCCATATGAAATTTGTATAATTTTTTTCACACAAAGAGCTTTCTTTTGGTGGTATTTTTGCACTATAAACAAAAAAATGTTTCTCCTTCACTAATGTGAGTTGATGAGGCTGCACTGATAGGCAGCACCAATGGGTACTGATGAGTTGGCATGGATAGGCAGCACTGATGGGCACAGATAGGCTGCACTGATAAAGCGGTACTGGTGGGCATTGATGATGATGCACTGATGATGCTGCACAGATATGCAGCAATGATGGCCACTGATAGGTGGCACTGATAGGTGACACTGATGGGCACTGACTGGCGGCACTGACTGATGGCACTGACTGGCGGCACTGTTGGGCAGCCCAGCTGGGCACTGATGGGCGCAACTGCTGGGCGGCACTGCTAGGCAGCACTGATATGAGGCACTGATGGGCGGCACTGCTGGGCACTGCTGGGTGGAACTGCTGGGCCCTTATGATCATTGCCGATCTGTTCTGTGACATTTGCCGGTTAT